CCAAATAAACATGAAGTATTAAAAACCACAAATAAACATGAAATATTAAAAACTTAAATTGAATCTAATACGTTTATTGGAAACTCAAATATATCTCCAAAAGTGAGACAGCACTAGCTGAATTTTTCATAATTGCCTCTTTTTTTTTTAAACACGAGACAGTTTGTGAGATAGTAGCTAACTAATCTCAGGTAAGATATCCACGGTTGTGAATCATTATCATGATGGTATTTACATGGTACGTACTTCCAATATTACCATCGTGTTTCAATTATATATTTGTAGCGTTTTCGTGTACTATTATTGTTTAGACACTCCGTTAGTTGTAAAATATATTTACCTGTAGTACAGAGTCTGTAGCCTTTGTCATTCATACCCGTGCACGTGCGGAATTGAAAAACCTTTATCGCTGCCAAACGATAGAATACATTTGCAGCTTGTCTGAATGGATTGTAGGGAAATATTATTATAATATTATATATAATATAATTATTATGCCCTCCGACTTCACCTGTTTTCTCACATTTTTACTGAGGAGAAACTCGGTAAGCGAGGCCCGATAAGCCTGTGCAACATCGACCTCTAGATGGCGCCACGATATCAAAACTTTCCTGCAAGCGAGTTAACATGACAACCAGTAACAACAGCTGCAGTATACTGAAGTGCGATGACACATACTATACATCTAAAACAATTAAAAACAGTGTTTGGTTCATTTATTGGAATTTATTCTTTAATACAAACATATAAGTAAAAAACTAAAAAATTATATAAATGTTCTAAATATTAATTACATGCATGCAACTACATTACATACTGGCAGCTACACATAAAGTTTAACTTAAAAATACTGAAGCCGAAATAACAAAATGCGCTGTTCAGTGTATGTGCAATAAGTTTCCTGTTTGCATTGAGGCTCCCCAACCCCTCCACCCACAGGACTTTCGAAAATCTGTTCTGTCTTTGCTTGTGCTGCAGCTCAACTCACCTTTTACGTCTAAACATTATCAGTGAGACTATGGTGAGGCAAGCCAGTCAGTTTATCTCTCTGATCTGAAAGCGGATGTGAGATTGTGAGGTTGTAGCCTATTAATAATTGTCACAAACATTTACTGTATGTAGCTACTCTATATGATTGTATTGGTAAACAACATAGAAACACAGAAAAGTGCTGCACTGCAGGTTTGAATGAAATGGTTACATTTACGTTTTAGCAGAAATACATTATAGTTCATATTTCTTTTTTAGATAGTGCACATTCATGGTGACCATGCTGACTTTACCAAGCATACAGCAGATTTTTTTGTTGCTCGAGTGACTTGTGTGTGATTACACTGTGTTTTATATATATATATTTATATATATATATATATATATATATATACACACCTTGCTACGTGTACTGCGTTAGGCTAACCGAGACTTGTCATTTGCACTTATATATTGTTGCTCTTTCGTTAGTTTTGACTGCTTTTATTGTCCTCATTTGTAAGTCGCTGTCTGCTAAATGTAAATGTTATCATCTACAACACTATCAATGATGTTAACACACGTTTTACTTGGCATTTTGACCTTTTGTATTTCTCCCATGAGGGGGAAGTTTAACAAAGACTCCATTTTAGCTTGCTTTTGAATTATCTAAAGAATTGTTTGTTTCCACACTCTCAGAAAAAAAGGTACAAAGCTTTCACTGAGGGCGGTACAATTAGGTACAAAAGCTCAAATAAACATCTTTGTATCCTATTCACCCTTGAATGCTACATATTAATAGCTTAAAGGAATATATTGGCACTTCAAAAGTACCAAAAGTGTACATATTAGTACCTTTTGAAAGGGTAGCATCCCAGTGACAGTTTGGTATCTTTTGAAAACCAAAAATTGTAGTAATCAAATGCAAACTTTGAAGTCTGAATCCCACATGAACTAATTGGACTGGTTCGCGTTTGACCACACATCAAAACATCATCAACCCCCAAAGCAGAGTTTGCTCCTCTTAAATATCTGCATGTAAATGCAATTCACTTACTGGCACCTCCCACTGTTTCCTGTCACTAACAAGTGGAACTAAAAAAAAAGGTAGCACACAGGAAAAAAATCATTACAGAGCCATTTCACATTTCAACACAGCACTTCTCTTTATTTCGCCGTTATCTTTGGAAAAATGCCACACAACAACACAGATAACTGCAGCACATCTCATTTCAGATATCCACTTTTCACTTCCACCTACAGCTTCGTGCTGCTGTTCGGCCTTCCTTTGAACTCTGTGTCTCTTTGGATACTGGTTTGTCGGAATGGCTTGAGGAAATCCGTTCCGGGGATCTACATGGCCAACCTGGCCTTATCGGACCTACTTTTCACGCTTTCCCTGCCCTTTCGGATTATCTACTTCGCCACAGGTGAATGGAAGCTGGGAAACACTCTATGCATGATTCCAGGGACCCTCTTTGCCGTCAACATCTACTCCAGCTCCTTGTTCATCACGCTCATCAGTGTGGACCGGATGCTGGCTGTGGTGTATCCACTGAGATCTCGACATTTGCGGACGGTACCGATGGCCTGGGTGTTTTGTGTGATCGTGTGGCTGATCATCGCTGGATTGGCAGTGCCAACAGCCTTAAACCACCCCGAAAATAAGGACCCAGAGTGTAACGTTACACGCTGTTTTGAGAAATACACCGATAAAGAATGGATTATGGGTTTCACAATCCTCTGCTGCGCCACTTTCTTTGGTATTTTAATACCTTTCTGCATTATTCTGGGCTGTACGGTGGCAGTCGTGCGGCAGCTGAAAGGCTACAGCATGGCGACTTCCTCATGCAGCACCGAGCTGAGTAAAAGCAAGATTGTGAAGCTCTTTCTGTCCAACTTGCTCATCTATGCCATTTGTTTTATCCCATTTCACACTGCTTTCATCCTCTTTGGCTTGCACAAACTTCACATCTTGCATGGAGATAATACTCTTGAAATTTACTTTAACCTACAGACTGTTACCATGTGCATGGCCAGCACAAACAGCTGTCTGGACCCTTTGATCTACTATTTCAGCTCAAAGAATATTCAAGGTAGAGCCAGATGTGACTCTTCATCCAAAACCGTCGGTCTCGGCCTGGTCCAGAGCATGAGTTGGAACGGACAGTAAAGCACCGTCCATCATAATCACTTGTGTTGTTGAGGTAAAGAAGTTCTTTGTCTGAAAGGAAATGGTTATGTAAAAAAAAAAACAGGTCTTAAACCAAAAGCTGACTCACGCACGAGAACGTTGCACATCTCTGCTCGTGTGCATTGCGGGAAAAGGTTGCAACTCTGTTTACCTCGCTCAGGCGTCCTAAAGCAGGTCAAAAGGGAAGAAGACACCAAACGTTGAGCCAGTGATTCATTAACTGACAATGTGATATAAATACTTTAATTTGTTCTGCAAAACTTGCATTGTTGCAAATCATCAACTAAGCTGTTTACGTGTGCATTTGCTTATCACTGGGAACCCAGGGCAGTAGCTACTGTAGAAATGTTGGCCCCTCTGGTTGTATATTGCTATGTTTTGCTGCATTAGCTGCATTTCTACCAGCATTACAGTTGAAAAAGTGTTCAGTTTGTCTTTTTGTCTGTTTTTGTGTCATTGAGCAATACATTTGAACTGCATTTTTATTTCCCCAGGATTGCACTGAAGTTTCGCATAGTAATATGCACTTTTGCTTTTGTGTCTTGCATTATGTTGGTCGAAATAAACCAAGCATACTTCTGCCAATCTATCACTTTTATCTTCTCGGATAAGATCTGCATTGTGATGATGACATATTTGACTTCAACTGAGGTGAGAAAAAGTGAGAAACGGTTCACATGGTTGCACAAAGCTCACAGACTGGCATAAGGAAGTGAAAGTTGAAGTTTCAAATCAACTGTTGAAGTCCACACCACACCCTGCTGAAAAAAACAATAGACACCATCACAAAATTTGTAATGGTTTTACTGGATTTAATGGGACTTGTATTGGTTTTAATGGAAACTGTAATGGACCCTGTGGGTCTCCACTGGTAATTGGTCACCTTTGTCGGTGGCTTGTTAAAACCAATACATCCCAATGGAATATGTCCCAAAACACACTACAGAAAACCATTTTTTAATGGTTTTAATGGTTAAAAGCTGATGGTTTGTAATGGTATTTGTAGTGGAAACCATTCAAATTTTCTGTGATGGTTCTATCGTTTTCTTTGTTTTTTTTTAGCAGGGCCCTCTCCGGTGGTTTCACACGAGGGATCTTTTTCATGTTGTGGTTTTTGGGCCAAGTGCGCAGAAAGGTCTGTTGCATGCGCTTACTTATCTGTAACGATCAGCAGAGCAAGAGTAGTGTTTCAACAGTTTATTGATGGATTTTTACAAGTGATTATTATTTACAAAGCAGCAGAATAGAGTGCATCAAATCAAACGCCTCGTTTATTCCAGACAAAACCAGTTGTTGCTACACCAGTATGTGGAAGAGGGTCAAACACATAAATGGTACAATTAGAAAAAGTGCATGCAAAATGAAATGATTCCACCTCAGATGAGGTCTAAGGATCTACCATTAGTCATGGATGGACCATAAAAAAAAAAAAATAGGAACAGCAAGTAAAAGATTTCTGTACCTAAGAAAATTCACCTTCAACTTAAAGAACAGCCCGTTCTTATCAGTACAGACATACTGCACTTAGAGATAACGGAACATTTCAAACCAACATCTGGTGGCTAGTTTCTCACATTTTTCTACAAACTTTATTCACATGTATTAAAGAGCAACACACAGAGTGATAACCTGCTCAGATAACCAACAATACTACAAACAAATGGATGTCAAGTTAGGAAATCCAAGATAAGAAAACTTATATTGCTTAGATCACGTTCAAAAACTCACGCTATGACTTAAATAACAGGCTTAAAGTCATACATTTCTAAAATATGAGGTATACATCTTTTGGCATTGAAGACAATTTTCCAATACTGGATTTCTTAGCTAACACAGAAAATAATGAACAAATGAAACCATCAGTCTACACAAACCGAGGCTTTACAGAGGAAGAAAAAACTAAAATGCAAACCATTTGTCAGCGCATGCCAGATGTCTGAGACTAATCTCACAGTATTTGAGAAAACTGAAAAAATTTAATAAAATACAAATAACCCGAGAGTGAAATGAAACTACAAACTAGACAGTTTGCTTCAGAATATGCAAATCAAAATCTAATTTAGACAGACAAAAAAGAGACACAAAAAAAAAAACACTTGGGTGAAAAAAGTAATTACAGTTTATCCTTGGAAAATTTGAACCAACAAACACACAAATATGGCATTATCTAACATTATGTACAGGTTTGTCATGCTGATAAAGTGCTGTTAAGCTGGACAGATGGGGAAGGGTCAGTTTTGGTTTTGCTCAGTAGAGTTGAGGAGAAGGGAAGGAAACTACAGCAGGAGTCGGTCACAAATCTTTGTCTCTACGACAAACGTGTTCTCGAAGTGCCGGATGCTGTGGCAGTTCCTGGTCTCCCTCTTATCGACACCTGAGGAAGAAACAGATTCGAGTCGGGTTCAGCAAGGATGTTGGATATACTGTATTGCATAATTGTTGCATGTACATCATCAGTTACACTTTTTGTGCTGCCTGGTTCAGGAAGCATTTTACACTACCATTCAAAAATTTGGGGTCAGTAAAATTTGTTTACTATTTTAGAAGTCTCTTATGCTGACCATGTCTGCATTCATTTAATCAAAAATACAGTAAAAAGAGTGATATTATGATTTAAAATAACTTTTATATTTTAAAATGTAACTTATTCCTGTGATGCAAAGCCGAATTTTCAACATCCTTATTCCAGTCTTCATTGTCACATGACCCTTCAGAAATCATTCTAATATGCTAATTTAAAAACGTTTTTATTATTATCAATGTTGAAAACAGGTGTGCTGCTGAACATATTCATGGGAACGGTGATACATTTGATAAAAGATGATTTGATGAATAGAAAGTTCTAAAGAACAGCATTTATTTAAAATTTGTAACATTGATTAATTTAATGCATCCTTGTTGAATAAGTGTTGATTTCTTTCAATACAATAAAATGGTAGAGAAATGTTTTAAAATGTATAAACAACTCAACCACAACTAACTACAATTCCACTACTAACTACTCCCAAAGAATTACTAGACTAGCCATAATCCTGAACAGAGATCCACTCAAAGAAAACTTCCCATGGAAATGGGAAAGAATTAATTATAGTTAGTTTTTTCAAGTTAACTAGGTAATGTTATCCGACTACATAACTAGCAACCCACTTAATGCCTACCCTTGTCTTTTTATTTCTACTTTACAAATAAATGTTTGTTTCCAAATGAAAATGTTTAAGGCTTGATTCATCTCAAAGCAGGGTCATACATTTTCTAAGTGAAAAATATTGTTTGTAAAAATAAGTTGAACTCAGCGGTCACATTCTTGGTGTGGCACAAATGTCGCAAGTCAAGTTCTATTTCCTGTGGCTACCCAGACACCATCTGTGCCCGGATGAGTGAGAGGAAGTCCTTAAGGAGCCAAGCTACAGCTCCCACACCTCAGCCTCTGCAGAGAGATGCCCTCTGATCCAAACGACAACTCCCACAATGCATAAGTGCTTGACGTGCATCACATCCCCCTCTGTGTGGTTTCCAAACCGGAGACGTTCCGAGTACTCTACGATCGTGAGTCACGTTTACACACCTACGTGCGCACGCATTAATCAGGATGAAGAGCGGTGTCAACATGCCACACGCACCAGACTGAATGTACCCAGCACATGCCCAGATCCACCTGAATGCAACATTTAACATTAGACTAAAGCACTCGGACTCAAAAAGAGGACAATGTTGTGTTATCAGCAACAGTTAAAGCATCCGATTTTCGCAAGATAACTGGGTGGATAGAAATGAGAAAAACCAACAAAAAAACAGGAACTAAACGAGCCCACAGACAACCACAGCTACACCGATGTGTGCACAGGTTCCAGGAACAAATGCCCCCTAAAAGATCGAGGACAAGATTGTTCTGTTTGAATACATTTTAAAATGTAATTTATTCCTTTAAGGTGACATATCATGAAAATCTTATGATATATCTTGACTTTTCCCGTGAAAAAGATGAACCCAGAAAGGGATCTCATTATAATATTACCGCCCCTTAATTTGTAAGTTTCCACCCACGGCGCCGTCATTTGGTTTCACAAGCGACAACGGTGTACCAGTTCTAATGTTATGGCGAAAGTTTGAGCAAAACATGCTAACTGTTCTGTCTTTGGCTGCACAGACGAGCACAGAACACTGTTTAGAGTCCCAGCCTCAGAGGAGACAACAGAGCAGTGGATGTATTGATTTATTTACTGTATATCCTCCTGACTACCAGCTATGGAGTTTTGTCCTCTGTAGAGGACATTATGTTTTAGTGATTTCTCTGAGACGTTACATGTCACAGTTTTAAGTCTGGATGTCCTGTACAGAGCACATTCAGGGCTTTTCAGATATACCAAATGATTGGATGTTTCACCATGACCACTCCCTCTCCTTGGTCTTTAAAAATGTCTGACATCCATTTAGTGATCAAGTGTAACACCCTTATGGAAATATGATAATATTTTTTCATTTAAATCTGACTAATTTTCATATTGTTTGTAATACATCAACATCTCAGAAAAATGTTATGGGGTTTCAAATCAAAATATGACCTTCTGTTATGAAACATGATGTCGATTTCATACATTTTGGGAGACAACAAATGAATTGAGAAAATGTAATGTATCAATATTCCTATTAAATATTAGATATTATGAAAATATTGTTAATTATTACTCCCATTATTGCACTTATTTGTTCATTCTATGTTGCCCCAAAAACACATTAATATACAAATTAGATACGGTTTATAGATACATTGTATATAATGGAAAAACTTGTTTATGGCCATTTTACACACATTTTGCATAAACAAAAAATGGTTTTTAAAAATATCTTTCATAACATACACTGAACAAAATTATAAACGCAACACTTTTGTTTTTGCCCCCATTTTTCATGAGCTGAACTCAAAGATCTAAGACTTTTTCCACGTACACAAAAGGCCTGTTTCTCTCAAATATTGTTCACAAATCTGTCTAAATAAGTGTTAGTGAGCACTTCTCCTTTGCCGAGATAATCCATCCACCTCACAGGTGTGGCATATCAAGATGCTGATTAGACAGCACGATTATTGCACAGGTGTGCCTTAGGCTGGCCACAATAAAAGGCCACTCTAAAATGTGCAGTTTTATCACACAGCACAATGCCACAGATGTCGCAAGTTTTGAGGGAGCGTGCAATTGGCATGCTGACTGCAGGAATGTCCACCAGAGCTGTTGCCCGTGAATTGAATGTTCATTTCTCTACCATAAGCCGTCTCCAAAGGCGTTTCAGAGAATTTGGCAGTACACGGACATGTCACCCATTGAGCATGTTTGGAATGCTCTGGATCAGCGTATATGACAGCGTGTTCCAGTTCCTGCCGATTTCCAGCAACTTCACACAGCCATTGAAGAGGAGTGGACACACATTCCACAGGCCACAATCAACAACCTGATCAACTCGAAGGAGATGTGTTGCACTGAGTGAGGCAAATGGTGGTCACACCAGATACTGACTGGTTTTCGGACCCCCCATGACCCCCCCCACTACAGTAAAACTGCACATTTTAGAGTGGCCTTTTATTGTGGCCAGCCTAAGGCACACCTGTGCAATAATCATGCTGTCTAATCAGCATCTTGATATGCCACACCTGTGAGGTGGATGGATTGTCTCGGCAAAGGAGAAGTGCTCACTAACACAGATTTAGACAGATTTGTGAACAATATTTGAGAGAAATAGGCCTTTTGTGTACATAGAAAAAGTCTTAGATCTTTGAGTTCAGCTCATGAAAAATGGGGGCAAAAACAAAAGTGTTGCGTTTATAATTTTGTTCAGTGTAGTTGAGAATCGTCTTTATATAAAGTTTGGTATAAAAAATTAAAATTGATGTGGGATTAAAACAAAAATCCCATTGTTTTTGCCTTTTCATGTCTATTCATGTCTTCTTATTTCTTAAAAAACAGGACTTTTTAAAGTCCCGATGTCTTCTACAGAGGACATGGCATAACATATGAATAAAAATGTTATTATTATTTAATGACATGACAAAATACTAAATTCACAAAACATTTTTCCTGGTAGTATTGCTGCTGCCACACAGATCTAAAATAAACATGCGATTTATTTCCCAGCGGTTTACATTCACATACTTAACCGACTGTTTTTGTAACTTGTGTTTTTAACGTAAACTTGTGTGTGAAATTCTGTGAATGAGAACTTAGTTTAGTACTCGCATGCTGTGACAGTCGCTTTCTGTACGTGTGCTCTCAGAAAAATGTATATCAGAAGTTCAAAATAATATGGTTTAAAATGCATGATTTCAGCACGATAAACATGATAATCAGAACCAAAACAGATGTTTTTAGCAGGTACGAGCTGTAATGGCGCAGCTCTATTCTGGAAAAGACACAGGCCCGAAAAACAGCACGTTTCTGCTTCCACTCAAAATAGGCATTTTCTAAATTATATAATAAATGATCTGTGCGGTATTTTGAGCTGAAACTTCACAGACACATTCTGGGGACACCAGAGACTTATATTACATATTGTAAAAAGAGGCATAATATGTCTCCTTTAATTAATTTTCAGCAGCATTACTCCAGTCCTTCAGAAATCATTCTAATATGCTAATTTGGTGCTCAAGCAGCATTTCTTATGATCTTCCATGTTGAAAACAGTTGTGCTGCTTACCTACCATTCAAAAGTTAACACTTCTATTCAGCAAGGATGTTGTAAATTGATTCAAAGTTATCGTAAACACATTTAATGTTTACATGATGATTTTACAAAAGATTTTTTTTTTAAATGCTATTCTTTGAATTTCTAATTTGTCAAAGAATCCAAAAAAAAAAAGTATCACAGTTTCCAGCTTTGGTGAGCATACGAGTCTTCCTTCAAAAACATTAAAAATCTTAGTTATTTCAATCTTTTGTAGTAATAATAATAATAATATTATTATTATTATTATTATTAGTTGAGAATCGTCTTTATATAAAGTTTGGTATAAAAAATTAAAATTGATGTGTGATTAAAACAAAAATCCCATTGTTTTTGCCTTTTCATGTCTATTCATGTCTTCTTATTTCTTAAAAAACAGGACTTTTTAAAGTCCCGATGTCTTCTACAGAGGACATGGCATAACATATGAATAAAAATGTTATTATTATTTAATGACATGACAAAATACTAAATTCACAAAACATTTTTCCTGGTAGTATTGCTGCTGCCACACAGATCTAAAATAAACATGCGATTTATTTCCCAGCGGTTTACATTCACATACTTAACCGACTGTTTTTGTAACTTGTGTTTTTAACGTAAACTTGTGTGTGAAATTCTGTGAATGAGAACTTAGTTTAGTACTCGCATGCTGTGACAGTCGCTTTCTGTACGTGTGCTCTCAGAAAAATGTATATCAGAAGTTCAAAATAATATGGTTTAAAATGCATGATTTCAGCACGATAAACATGATAATCAGAACCAAAACAGATGTTTTTAGCAGGTACGAGCTGTAATGGCGCAGCTCTATTCTGGAAAAGACACAGGCCCGAAAAACAGCACGTTTCTGCTTCCACTCAAAATAGGCATTTTCTAAATTATATAATAAATGATCTGTGCGGTATTTTGAGCTGAAACTTCACAGACACATTCTGGGGACACCAGAGACTTATATTACATATTGTAAAAAGAGGCATAATATGTCTCCTTTAATTAATTTTCAGCAGCATTACTCCAGTCCTTCAGAAATCATTCTAATATGCTAATTTGGTGCTCAAGCAGCATTTCTTATGATCTTCCATGTTGAAAACAGTTGTGCTGCTTACCTACCATTCAAAAGTTAACACTTCTATTCAGCAAGGATGTTGTAAATTGATTCAAAGTTATCGTAAACACATTTAATGTTTACATGATGATTTTACAAAAGATTTTTTTTTTAAATGCTATTCTTTGAATTTCTAATTTGTCAAAGAATCCAAAAAAAAAAAGTATCACAGTTTCCAGCTTTGGTGAGCATACGAGTCTTCCTTCAAAAACATTAAAAATCTTAGTTATTTCAATCTTTTGTAGTAATAATAATAATAATATTATTATTATTATTATTATTATTAACACTGATGTTTAATTAGCAAAAACCAATAATAAATCAAGTCATGAAACTCACGTCTTTGGCCGCTACGGCGTCTCAGTCTGTAGGTTTCTTTTCCGTAACAGAGCCGGTGGATGAAGGGTCCCAGCTGACGCATGTTCCTAACACGCCCCGTCACCACCATCTCTTCCTGAATGATGTAGGTCTGGGGCAAATACATCCCCCGCTGCCAAAACACAAATGCATACTAACGGTCACATGGAGCTACGGGCTTCATTCCATCAACACTGACACATTAGCTATGACGAATCAAACGGATTAGAAATCTGTGTCACCTCTGCTAGGGAAGAGACAAATTCCTTTTAGGGTTTGCATGCATCAATTTGAATATATTGAATAAATTAAAAATACTAACAAAAACATTTATTTTATAAATAATGTTACTAGATAAAATGCTTAAGAACTAGGGGGAATTTGAAAACTTTTTCAAAAATGATAATTATATACTAAATATTATTAAATGATATACTAAAAATAAATTATAATATCTTGAAATCTTTTTAAGTAGGTTTCCATTACTTTTTTTATTATCCTAATTTTTTTATTTCCAGGTTTTTCATGATCATGGGAATACTGTTTTTACAGGTTAAAAATTAAGTTATTAACAAATGATTTCTGAAGTCGCAGTTCTACCTTCAGAAATCATTTATGAAATATTTCACATTTCACATTTCAGAAATAAAGGCTGCACATCAAACATGTGACTCACAATCTGAGACCTTTTGTTCATGCGTTACATAAAACTTTATGCAATCTGTTACCTTGACATTGACAAGCAGCTCCCACAGGTTCCTGGGCAGCATGACGATTGTTGTGTTGAGTTCAATAACGTAGCACTTATCCAACGCAATGTCGTAGTAAGCTGTGAGTCCCTGTGTTAACAAGAAATGGCAACACCTCCATTAATAACCACTCTAGAATCAAATAAGAAATGTTTTGAGAGATTTGGTGAAGTTTAACACATTTTCCACCATTTAAAAGTTTGAACTCTTAAAACTAATACTTTTTCTCAGCAAAGATGCATTAAATTGATTAAAAGTGACAAATTGTAACAAATGTTAAAAGATTTCTATTTCAAATAAATGCTGTTCTTTTCAATCTATGAAAAACATTGAAAATAAGAAGAAATGTTTCTTGAGCAGCAAATCAGTATATTAGAATGATTTCTGAAAGACCACGTGACACTGAAAACTGGAGTAATTGTGCTGAAAATTCAGCTTTGCATCACAGGAATAAATAGTGATGCATTTTATAATATATTCAAATAGAAAGCAAGTCTTTTAAATTGTAATAATATTTCACAATATTGCTGTTTTAATACACTTATGTTCAATTAAATGTAGGTGGGAGAGAACAATTAAATGTTCTGCTGACATTCTCATAGATTTATAGCTTCTGGGGAACTTGGAAATGTGGCTTTCACACAAACATTTGCATGTACTCTGTGCCTGGCACATTGCGCTGAATATTAATAATGATTTTAGCAGACAAAAGGTTTCCTGAGAAATGATTCACAGTCCATCTGGGGGAGCCGTGGTGACTAACACCAGCTTTTGTGCAGCCAGAGAACTAGAAGAAACTGTACCAGAGCAAAACGGGCAGAACTTTGCTTCAAGTGCTTCTAGGAAAGACCCTCACCCTGTGAAAGTCGTGAATGATGTCAGCCGGGTCGCTGCTTCCGAAGTCGGGCACAGGCACGCTGATCTGCTCGTAGTTGTCATCCAGGAAGATGCCGACGTTCTCCTCTAGCTCCTGTCTTCCGAGTAATGGGGCGAACAGTGGGTCCTCGTACATCACCCGACAGTGGAACAAACTGTCCTCTGGGATCTGGAGAAAGAAAGCAGAGCACTTCAATAGAGTGCACTTGAACCAGTGAACAGAAGATCCAGCAAGGTGTTGCTATGGTGATCGCTATGGCAATGAACTTTAATAGGCTTGTTCGTGAATAAAAGATGAGATCCAATAAGAGATCCAGTGACGTCTAGCGTCTCACCTGCGGGCTGAAGTAGTATCGGTACAGGCATACAGACGCCATGATCAAGCCTGACAGGAAGATCACCAAGCCGAGCACGACACACCAAAGGCCACTAAAGGGAGACTTCTTAGATCTTACCGGGAGCACCAACTCATCCTGCTGGGAAACAAAACAAGCATCAAATTAGTTTTATGCATTCAAAGCACTTGGGATAGTTTTCATTGGCTTTTGATTCTGGACTGCATGTTTAACTTAATATTTAAAAGGAAGAGTCCATCCAAAAATTTTAATTCTGTCATTTTTCTGTCATATTTACTCCCCCTCATTTTTGATCCAAACCTGAATTACTTTTTTTTCTTCTTCTGTGGAACACAAAAATGTTTATTTCAAAGAGAGTTGGTCATTTAAATGGTGGAATGGAAATCAATGGACCCAAAAATGTTTGCTTGACAACATTCTTCCAAATATCTTCTTTTGTGTTCCATAGAAGAAATAAATGCATACAGGTTTGGAATTACATATTTATTTTCATTTTTGGGTGGACCATCCCTTTAATTTCAAATATATGAGCATTGATAATGCTTGGAGAAGATCTACATCCAAATTTCCCATTACAAAATCTATATACATGCAAACTAGACTGCAAAAATTTTTTACTTAATTACTTGTGTATTGTTTTTCAGTACAAATATCTAAACATTCATTAATCAAGGCATTTAATTGAGAAGCAATAAGCCTTAAAACTAGGAAAGAGTATCAAAATTAAGCAGGTTTATGTTTAAAAAAGAAAAAAAAATGAGGTAAGAAAAATAAACTTAATTCAAAGGTAAAACAAAATTATTTTTATTATCCCACTTTCTTACCCCCATTTTTCAAATTTTAAGTATAAACTCACTTCAAATTGATAAACTGTCCAAAAAAAAAAAAAACGAGATTTAATATCTTGGTAATTTTTTTTCTTGAGTAAATGCATCTTAATTTAAGCCTGTTATGACATTTGTCAGGTAAAAAAAAATACTACGAATATTCTTGCCTCACTGACATATTTTTTTCTTTTTTAAGCATAAACTCCATTTTAATACATTACCCCCCGGTTTCACAGACTTAAGCAAAGTCCCCGACTTAAACCGGCTTAAGCCTAGTCCCCGACTAAAATGTAAGTCTGAGCTGTTTCAACTGAAAGAAACTAGCACTGGTTGATCTTGAAATAGGTCAGTGCCCTTGTATTGTCTCAAGATGCACAATGCATCTTAATTTAAGCCTGTTATGACATTTGTCAGGTAAAAAAAAATACTACGAATATTCTTGCCTCACTGACATATTTTTTTCTTTTTTAAGCATAAACTCCATTTTAATACATTACCCCCCGGTTTCACAGACTTAAGCCAAGTCCCCGACTTAAACCGGCTTAAGCCTAGTCCCCGACTAAAATGTAAGTCTGAGCCGTTTTAACTGAAAGAAACTAGCACTGGTTGATCTTGAAATAGGTCAGTGCCCTTGTATTGTCTCAAGATGCACAGCAGTAATGTTTTTTCTAAGGCATGTTTATAAAAATTACTTTAAAATCCTAATTGAACTATGGCCTAGTCCTGGCTTAAGCTAAACTCCATCTGTGAAACCGGGCCAAGAAGACTTAATATTTGAAGTAATTTTCAAACACCAAGCAAGAAAATCATTTTATCTGCAGTTGCACCCAACAATGCCAAGACATCAGTCACGGCAGCATCTCAAGACGTCAGGTGGCGTGAGCAATCCACCCGCCTCCAGTCTCTCAGAGACGCTGGTGCCGAGGACACCAGCTCGGATCGGCCCACGCAGGCTCTGGATCATCGTGAATCAAACAGACTTGCTGACAGAGCTACTATCTCCGCCTGGCAGAGTGATATTTATAGGCACGTACTGTACTTCCACACTCCTTATTTGTACAGGAGTTCCTATCTACGTAGGGAGGACACACAGTAGCAGCGGGTAGGAGACAGTGTGTGGGCACCAGGCTGAAAATAACAGCTCTAGTATCAGATTAGATGAATCCACGTCATTTTCACTCTAGTAGGGAAAATGAATGCAGGCACATGAGGTCGAATTAAAAACGTGACGCACTAGAGAAGGGACCGTTTTGAGTCGCCCACAAATGTCCTACTTTATAATGCTTTCAGACTTCAGTTACTCCCAGCTGAATTCTAATAAATGGACTTTATTTAGCTTTCTAGTTAAAACCCCAAAGATTTGATGCATATTGACAGCTTCCAATGACTCAAAACTGATGCATTCTCAGAAATGAGAAAACTATTAAATCTGCGGTCAGCTTCATATTTCTCAGAGCCAATTACAAGACTGGCATCCATTTTGTGAAGGCAAAGATCCTATTTCACCCCGACTGATGGGATCAAGCATGTGCCTGGTCGGATTGGAGCGAGGACTGAGCGTTCCAGGCACATCAAAACAAAAGGCTGCGGTCATCTGCACTGTCACAGCTCAAGTCAAGTGGTAATAAAAGGTTTTGCAGTTGAATAACTACCATCATGGGAACAAATAGCAAGCGTCCATATAGAGGACACACACACACACCTCAAGCCGATTTGTTGGGCACTAATCTGCAGTGGCGGTTTATGCTGAGGGATGATGTAATGTCATCCTGCTGTGCATCTCAATATTGGCTCGCATCTATCAGCTGTAAACCAATGCAGAACTGCAGGTCCAAGCATGGCAAAGTGTATAATATATACTTCAATATTAATATATTCATAAAAGTCAGAGATGTTCAGTTAAGACACAAGACATCTGATACTTATTATCAATCTGTGATAATAAAATTAAGACAGAAACTGGTGCATTCTCAGAAATAGGACAATTGTCAGCATCATTGTTCTCTGTGCAGCTCAATACTGCCTTACATCTATCAAGTGCAATCCATTTTTACACTTTTTTTTTTAACTTAAAACATGTACAAGCCTGCCAAAGTGAATAATAATATTTAATGGAATACTAATACTAATCATCAACATCATCATTATTATTGTTAAGCATTATAATTGTATATATTAGATTCACATTACAGCTTTGTCTAACAACCACCTAATTGGTTTAGAGACATAATGGCACTTTCTTAAGAATAAGAAAAGCATAAATATAACAGAATTCAAGTAAAAATATATCTTTTTGTCTGGAGGAACATGACAAAACAAAGGATGGTTTCACAGCAGACCACAAAACAATAGACAATAATGGGTATTTAAATAGGAAGCTGTAACTCACGTGAGAGTAGGGCATGTGAATTTCCTCTTCGTCTCCATCGTTCTCCTTTTCCAGCTTCTGTGCAGTTACTTGCTGAAAAGATATCTTCACCATTTTGACGCTTCTTCCTAGTTTTCTGCGGTTAGGACGCCGAGTAGTGATTGTACCACCAAGGACGCTTCTGAGCGGTGAATGAAGCGCTCGACAGAGGGCGGGCGAACTTAAAGAGGATTCCCTCGCTTCCGGTACACTTTAAAGTAAGAGTCCACCAATCGGCGTCTGTTTTCTAAAATTAGTATCACTTGCAATTTTCACAATAAAAAAAAGGCTTATCTAGTAACCCGTGCAGATCCGAATGATCAAAAATGATCAAAAATGACAATGTTTTATTTTTTACTCCAAATGCAGTCATAAATAATAATCATTGGGGGGAAATCAGTTTGATATTTTAAAACACATAAGCATTATCCATCCATCCATTCATTCTTATAAGATTTTCATTCTACATCCATTCCCATTAGATTTGACCTGAGATCACATTTTGCATTTTTTTAAATAAACAGAATTTTACTACAGCTCACACGTCTATTTTGCTTAAAATGCTAAAGAAAAACCTTATAATTTTTACATTATTACACATTGATGTACTAATATTTTAATTACATTATTGGTGCATAGTTAAGATATACATCTAATCTAAAAATATTCTGCATGACAATGATAGTGAGAAGTCATAATGTGCCAAAATGAATCATGGTTTTACTAAAAAAAAAAAAACCTTGGTTAACTTACTATAGTTAAACCATGGTTACCACAAATTAACCACGATCTTGCTACACTAACCACAGTTTAACCATGGTACTTGTAGTAAAACTGTGGTTATACAAATGGTAATCAATGTGCCAAAAAACATGGTTACTACACTTTTACTATAATAAAACCATGGTTAATCTTCATTTGTCAAATCAATAACCTTGAACGATATATCAAAAGATTATCTCGCCATGAATGTGATCGTACATTAACAATACAATTTAATTACTTACACATATTTAAAATCATTTTTAAATTAAAGTAATACTTGGAACAATGGAAAAAAAAATTATCCCACGGGATTTTTCTAAATCAGCCATTCATCTCCGCCTGGTCCCGTCTTGGACTTTTATTGTGGAATTGTTCCCACAAATGGATGTGCATTCCGGTTCTATTTTAGCCGTTTACGGCGCTCCTGCTCGGCTACGCGTTCTGATTTGCATCAGACTGCCGGAAGTCAATAAATAACTTGACACTGATGAATGCTTTTTATGGTTCTGATGTAGGTTATAATCTATCAATTATAATCTACAAACAGCGCAAATGAAGTATAATCAAGTATTTTCAGGTTATGAAACAGAAAATATTAATAATAATAATTTCATATTATTATTCATTTAATAATTTCATGATTTATCATGGCACGGAGGATTTGTCGATTTAAAAGATTAATTTAAACGAGACTTTTTACTTAAAAAATGAAATAGGGAAAAAAAAATATATATATATATGTAATAAAGCACATGACTAATTTGCTTTCTTTTATTCACTAAAACAATGCGATTCGCTATCTGACGTGAATGTAAATGTGTAGTTTATTTTTCAGTAGTCTTATATTAATGTTAAATATCAGCACCTTTTCATGTGCTTTGCTTTACATTCATATGTACCTTCTGTGATGATGTCCCACATACGCACACTGCTAAGAATGAGATCAACTCCGCACTGATGGAAATGATGCCGTGCGCGTGGACGCAATTCCAGTAGATTTCGCACTTTTGTTCTGTTCAAAAAGAAAGAATTAATTTCTGTAATTGTCATATTGGGGTCAATTATTATTTTATTGTGTAATGCATAAAAACTACCAGTCTCTGGCTGATTGTGTCTTTGCCATTTATTTTTCTGATTTAGTTTGATCCCTTTTGAAGTCCCTTCCCATTCCATCTCTCTACACTCTAAAAAAATGCTGGGTTAAATACAACCCAGTGCTGGGTAAAATAGGGACAAACCCAGCAATTGGGTTGTTTTGACCCAGCGGTTTGATTAAACATTTAACCCAAGCGCTGGGTCAAAACAACCCAATTGCTGGGTTTGTCCCTATTTTACCCAGCACTGGGTTGTATTTAACCCAGCCTTTTTTAGAGAGTAAGTACCTTTTTGAAGAGTTTCATCCTGACTATAATTTACAAGATAACATGAAGTTTCAACCCTCTAAACTCGAAGACCTAAGTTTGTTGATTTTTAATATGAATAAATTGGTTCCAAGTTAAAACCTGCCGTTAGATTATTGCAGTCTTTATGACCAAAAATATGAAATTGACTTAATTTGAAGAAAACTGAGTTGAAAATATAATAGGCATATGTAATATATTTTAAGGTTAATGTCAGGATATTGATTTTTCTCTGAATAACTTATTCTAACTAATTGACTTAAGGACAGTATGACATTATCTATCTATCTATCTATCTATCTATCTAGGTAATACTGCAGCATGAACTTAATTTTATTCACTTATACTGTGAATTGGGTTGGTTTACAGTGCCCAGACAAAGGCGAGGCTGTTGATTGGTTACCAGTCAGTCCATTCACATGTAAATCAGCCCTCATAAATTTCCCCCTTCAATCGCCCACTTTGCACAGTATATGTAGTGCTTGTTAGCCCAGACTTTTGTCTCGAATTGAACCCGCCGACCATCTGCCCCCCATTCAGCGTCCTCTCAGCGGTCTCTCTCTCTATACTGCAGCAATATGGCCCCTGCGTCCCGCAGCAACAGACACGAGGAGGACTATTTCGGAATTAAAGACAGAAAGGTACGCAACGCGTCTTTTTAATCCCACAAGCAAACGTTTATCGACGCTTTCCACAAGTTAAACGCATTCTCTCTCCCTCCTCAGACGAGGAAGCCGCTGGTGGAGAAAAAGAGACGCGCCCGCATCAATGAAAGTTTACAGGAGCTGCGGCTACTGCTAGCCGACCCGGATGTACGCTTATTTAGCACTTCTTCAAGCATCTGTATCCAGCACCAACATACAGCGCAACGCCAGTCTTAACGTCGCTGTTTATTTATTTGTTTATTTTAGGCGCAGGTAAAACTGGAGAACGCCGAGGTGTTGGAAATGACCGTGAAGCGCGTGGAAAGTATCCTGCAAAACAAAGCGACGGGTAAGAAGCGCTCAGCTGTTATCAAGTTTCATACAGGCCTGCATTTAAAAAACACCCCGAGTCGCAGCGAGTGTATGACGTCACGCCGCTTTTCTCCTCCGCAGAAGCTGACAGCGTGAACCGCGAAGCCAACGAGCGCTTCGCCGCGGGATACATCCAGTGCATGCATGAGGTGCACACCTTCGTGTCCAGCTGTCCGGGAATCGACGCGAGCATCGCCGCCGACCTGCTGAACCACCTCCTGGAGTGCATGCCTCTGAACGACGAGGAACGCTTTCAGGACATCCTGTCAGATCTCCTGTCGGACTCTAGCAGCTGTGGCACTTGGCACGGAGACAGGAGCGTGGTCAGCAGCGGCTGCTCGGTCTTGTCCCCGGCCCCCTCCACCACCTCCAGCGATGACCTTTGCTCTGACCTGGATGACACGGACACGGAGCACAGCCGAGTCTCGGTGGACGCCAGGGAGCAAGCGCCAAGCGTGCCAACCGTGCATCTCTCCAAGTCCATGTGGAGACCTTGGTAGACAGATGCTTCTGGAGATCCCAGCGGATTCAGGAACAGTATATTTTTAGTTTAGAGCTATATAGACATGCAATAGTCCAGGAGCACCTTTCTGACAGACCATGGACAGTTCTACATATAGGCTATAGGAATAGGGCAGATGCAACGTTTTTTTTTGTCATTTGTGACCTTGAACCACAAAATCTGAAAGCTGAATAAGGACATTATTTGGCTGAGATACAACTATTTGAAAATCTGGAATCTGAGGGTGCAAAAAAACAAAACAAAATGAAAAGATTGAGAAAATCGCCTTTAATGTTGTCCAAATGAAGTTCTTAGCAATGCATATTACTAATCAAAAAATTAAGTTTTGATATATTCTCGGTAGGAAATTTACACAATATCTTCATGGAACATGATCTTTAGTCCTGCTTAATATCCTAATGATTTTTGGCATTAAAAAAAAATCGATCATTTTGACCCATACAGCTATTTTTGGCTATTGCTACAAATATCCCCGGTGCTACTTACGACTGGTTTTGTGCTGCGGGGTCACATTTGTCATCGACCCGTTGATACCCCTCAGAAGCTCTTCTTGGTGCAACAATGTGCATTTCAGTTCAGTTTCACACAAAAGTTCGTATTTTTATTTAATTGTTTTTGTATAAGCTAAGTTAAAACAACTCTGTAAGGATAAATAATATTTCTAGGGAGTGTTTTCCCATCTCTAATTATTGTAGGCTAGGGTGTAAATATTTCAATGTTGTGGCTGTAGATATAGAGCTCTGACATAAAAAAAAGATGTAGCCTATGTTATCATTATGATGAAGTAATTTTGTAAAAATGTACTGACATTTAATGTGTTTTATATGTGATTGTGATTTCAATAAAACGTTTTGATTTCCTCACTGTAGAGTTTCATGTTATTTTTATGGTAACGCGAATTTGGCTTTTCTCGGGATTGACCAAGAGCAGATGCTATGCCGTTTTTAGGCAGTTGCAATTGCTTTGATGAAATAACCACAGTATGTAACTTGTTTTATCACACCTTTTCTATTATATCGGAAAGTGTGAACGTCCGCTTTGGGTGCACTGGCCCTCCAGACGTGTGAAACGTAACGCCTCAGTCACGGTTAACCGTCAGCGCAGACACACTGACTGGCACTGTGTAACGTGTCGTGCGGTGCCGTGTAGACTATACGTGTTACTGGTCAAATCTGTCATAGAAAATAAGCAAAGCAAAAATAGATGTTTGCAGTTTAGATTTAATAATGACATTTTGGCGGAAACTATGGTTGTAATGGTAAGGGACAGATCGTGAAATCGGCAACCTTACATCCGTTAACGTCGTTTCCATAACTGTTCAGTCTGATCATACAACAAAAGATATTTACTATAGAAATGTACGTGGAAAAATTAAGTTAATTCAAATGACTTTTCCAGGGGATGGGGTTGACGACTTCAGATGAAGTCTAAGTTAGCTTAAAATATAGCAGTTACGATGGTAATGTAATAGCCTACACGTAACATAACAGTTCAGTAACCACCAAAAAGTAACATATTGTGTGAGGTTACACACACACACACACACATCACACACACAGACACACACTCACTCACTCTCTCTCTCACACACACA